TAGTGTCGTGTGTGTGTGTGTGTGTGTGTGTAGTGTGTGTCGTGTGTGTGTGTGTGTACGTGTCGTGTGTGTGTGTGTGTGTGTGTGTGTGTGTGTAGTATATATATATGTGTGTGTGTGTGTGTGTGTGTGTGTGTGTGTGTGTGTGTGTGTTTTGTTTGTTTTTTGTGTGTGTGTGTGTATGTGTCTGTGTCTGTGTCTGTGTCTGTTTCTGTGTACATACACGTACACTCACGTCATAACACGGCGTGCACGTTGATCCTGGCTATAGCAAATATATCTGGTGAGCGCTTGTAGACATCTATACTACATATCGTACGCTCGATCACGCAGAACTCTGCTATCAACGCCCACCAGCGCCACACTTGAATCACAACACATATTTAACAGTAGAATACATATCTTGTGTGCACGATTTTGCATAAGTGCATATAATATACAACAGATGATTGTTGCGGTTAGCGTGTTTACACCAGCAATTGCACTGCGTGTGCACACAGTAAACTACTCAGCGAAGCCGCGTTCTAAAAACTCTATATCCCAGTCAGACAGATACTTTTATAAAGACATCCTTTAGACTCTAGCCACTTTTAATCATTTTGGACCCTCGGAGCTTCCCCAAAGTAGGGTCGGGATGGTAGAGGCAGGGAACCCGCCTTCCGGAAGGATGGCTCTCCTTGATAGAATATATCTAAAAGAGGTGATTTAATTAATCACCGTTTATTCAATCTCTAAACCAACCTATTTACCTAGAGCATCGAGAAGACAGGCTAGGCAGAACCTGGCCACATTTTCTTCTTCACGTCCGCCACATCGAGTTTGCACACGATAGGTGGTACATCACATGCGACAGGCAGATAAACACACCTCGCTGTAGTTTGACTGAGAGCCAGATTCATTCCGTACATCTACACTATATCTAGAATTTCGAGTTTGCACAGATTAGTGGTACATCACACGCGAGAGACTGGCAAACACACCTCACTGTAGTTCGACTGAGAGCCAGGTTCGAGCAAACAGTCGTCCAGGCCTTCCACGGGGGCGGTGAGATAGTTGTCAAGTTTCAGTATACGGATGCTAAACTTCAGTTTAGGTATCTGTGTGGATTGGGTCTGTGTCTGTGTGAACGCATGCGCTTGGAGACCAAGCTGTGGCTGTGTGGAGTGGTGCATCTTGATCCTGTTGGTTGCATCACACATGCTATGCACGTACGTGCTGCATATAGTGCTCGGTTATAAATCCGAGACACAATCGTTACCAATACTAACGTGTAGGAACATGATGTGTGCCTTTGATTTTTTGGTCGGATAAGCTTTTGTAGTTAACACCGGGTACAACAATGTCTTACGTGTATTTAGAACAATATTACTACCCGCGTGCATACAGCCTCCACTGTAATTATTCTGAGGCTATGTATACAACCGACTCAACCCTAAACTCTAAATATGACGCTCTTATTTTTTGTCTACAAAAATAACGGTCATTTTTTGGTGTGCAACTCCGCGATAATCGCGGAGATCAATGGATGATAGTCCTGCATAATATTGAAACACGCAACAGGTGTGCTAGCATTACATACGCAGCATGCATGCGTTCTGTACGTGCGTATGTGATGCACGGGTGGTTTTCAAATGCACGGGTGGTTTTCAGATGTACAGTACCATAGTGATATCAGATAGACATGGAGGGCAATCCGCCCCCCGGCAGGGCTGATAATAACGACTCCCCAGTTTCGACTGTTGTCCCCAATCCTAGTGATGAATCTATTCCAGCTGACAGTAAAACCGATGATGCACATCCCACTATTGAGGGGCTCTCTGTAGAAGGGTCGTCGAGTAGGATCCAATTGAATAGAAGACGGTCATGTACACTCCCTATTAAACTCAGTGATGGCGGTACTGTGCGTGAACGCCCCAAGCCAGCGCAGTTGGATTTGGTTACCCATCTCCCCCACGGACCCAATAGCATAAGCAATGGTACCGCAGCAATCGCTAAGAAGAAAGGTCAAGAAGACGTGTACTCACCGGCGCGGGTTGTTAGGGGCACAAAACTCTTGAGGCGAGTGAGCTTTGCAGACATTAGCCATAGTGCTGATATAGATGCCACTACGCAGGCCATACTGAAAGGTGTGTTACCGAGAGTTTCTTCTATGCAATCAACCTTGCAAGTTAGTAGCCCTGTTATAGCGCTGTCAGCACCGTCGCAGGATGCTATCTCAGGCCCCCAACCAGTGTCCTTCGAAGTGGGACATCAGCACTCCCGGATATCCTCGCAAGTACGCCCCACAAAAGATGCTAGCACCTTCCCGCACACAGATTCGTCAATCGACTGCCCCGCAGAATTTAGTAATGAGAACGGACCAACGGATCAATCACACTCACACTCACATCCATTTTCGAGCCCAATTAATCGAGGGATATTGCGCGAGACACGGCAATCGTCTCCGTTGGCCGTCACGTTCGCCACAGATCCCAGCAGCAGCCAGTCGTCCACCCGGTCAGATCTTGCCATGCCCAAGTCATTTGGCCAGCTACCTGCCACTTCCAATTCCAATAAGCACGGTAGTGCACAAATTCCTGTGGAAACACGATACAAGCCTATTGCCAGACCCGCATCCACGTCTGCTATACCTACCACAGCCTCTTCGCCAAGTCGCTCGCGCCCTATATCCACCGAGCATGTTACCGATGACAAGACTAAGCATGCGGGCGGTACTGGGCCCTATCAGCGTACCTCTGTGGTTGATGGTCACCTGTCACCCAGTTCATTCACAACACCCCATAGCGGCTCCAATTTCTTTGGTGTGTTTGGCGTGCTATCGCCTAAAGCAGCCAAGCATAGATCCCCCAGTCAGGTAAGTGCAAGTGTGATGCACAGTTGATACAGCTACTGATCTCGCAGTTACTTCACAAGATTCACGGTACAACCATACTAGTTCTCGATACTCCTCATATTGTCCGCAATTGACACTCGGGAAAATCGCTAGAATCTACAGACAAACTAAGTATTCCTTGTTTCGTTTTCACTGCGAACCTACACTCATACGCCCCATATGGTACACCACAGACCGAGTCACCCAAAGTGGGTTTCTTCAGACGGCTGACTTCCTCTCGATTCCACAGGACGCCCCAAGGCAGCCCCTCGGATGGGGCTACAAGCAGTTCGCTCATCTCACCCGATTCCCTCGGAACAGACTCGCCTCGGTATGTCCAAGTCTATTTTACACAATCGAAGATATTGCTTAGTAAAAGTCTAGTCTGATCCCTTTCTATATCAGGTTCCACAGGCTCCGTTGACAGTACTATTCCGTAAAGTAAGATGAGTTCGAACATGGGCCTTCCATCTTTTACACGTATACATGCGTTTCGATGTGCTTGTAGCCGTGGCCGTTTTCTCTAACAGTGTTGATGGCAGCTTTCATAGATGGCGAAGACAACGTTCTCGCGGGTGTTAAACACGTACGGCAATTCTTTCCACGCTACATGTTATGGCCAGAGAAACTCAATCTCTACACAGAACTGTAATGCTATCATTTCCATTCTACTTTAGTGTCATAGTACAATATCAGTACGACAAAGCTGCAAAAAGTGCGGATCTCAGACATCTGCTCCATACGCAGTATACTTGTCGTGTGTAGTACCAGTGTATACTCAGCTGCCCGCGGATGATGGAGACTGCGTTTGAAGACTATTTCATCTGCCATTGTCCCTTGTAGTCACGTATTAATTGGTTTTTTTCATACGTGCACCGGTGCATGATACACTTGCTTGTCCCCGAACCTGTATGTCACCCGATACGGCAGGCGGCATGGGAGATGTTGAATATTCAATAGTCTATCTTTGTTTTCTGTTGATCTTCTTTTTTTCTTTTTCTTCTTTTCGTATACGGACTGGCGCGCAGAACTCTTGCCACTCCTCGCACTGTTTCACCACCTAGCACAGCACAAGCTATGGGAGGCTTTGAGTACCCTGGAAGTTTCGATGCAACAGACAACAATTCACCACAAGATCTCAATTTACCAGCGCAGCGAAGGTATGTCAGAGATTTCCGAAGGTGTATATTTTTTTTAAATCAAAGGTTGAAGAGTTTCTATTTTTTTTGCTTTTTAATTTCAGTCTGTTGTACCGCAATACAAGTTGTAAAGCCAGTATGTGTGCACCCTTCTTTGCTTTGTGTCGTACTCGTTACGTTGTAAATGTGGATAGTATATATACACAGTAGCTTATGTGCATTGTGCCTGACTCTCCCTGCAGGCGAGCGAGCAGCTCCAGCGTGTCCGTTGAACCAATCAAGACCAGTGCTGTGCACACCAGCAGTACCGTGGGTAAGGCTTCGAAAAATGGCCGAAGTTTTAAAGGCAGTGCGAGGTTTAGTCCTCGTTCCGTAGATCTGGTGAGTCCTGATTCTAGAACCTCCAACTCATCGTCCCCGAGAAGAGGGACGACTCGATCACCTAGGAATGTGTTGGCCACAGTATCGTATGCTGTGGGTGACGCAATGTTCGAGCCGATAGTCAATCCAACGAACAATGCGCGGAAGGCGTATATCCCGAAGCAGAATGATCTGCCGGAGAACATGGACCAGGATATCGCTCTGGATGCGTCGTTTCAGGTATGTGTTGCCGGGCCGAGGGCGTTCGTGATTGACCTGGCAAACCTCGGGATGTAGCATGCGACTCCGAATTTGACATGTTCGTTGTCCTGTAGTTCTCAACAGCAGGTGCAAGCATTTTGTTGTGAGTGTATTTGAATCTGCTCTGCTTATAGCATTGACTCCTATTCAAATGTAGGTTTTCAATGAGGATGCTGATTGGGTTCCTATTTGTCGTTGATTTGTACCTTAATCTAGCCCATTTGGAGCGTTATTGAGAAGACAGTGTATTCTAGTTTCAGATGTGACTATTGCCGCCCGCAAAATAAAGTTTTCTTTCACATGAAGTAGATTTTTGTTTATTACACGTGTCTGCAATTGGCTTGGCGAGATTGGTCTCATAATTAGACGATGCGAAAACAAAAATATGATATTGTCACAGCCTTAACTCTTCTACGAAGAGTCGATTTCGAGTTCATATTCGATAATATGATCATATCAAAATACAAACTGATATATCGTACATTGCTGACTTCGCATTTCTTCAAACGCGCACCAGGTTTATCGAGTGATGATCGTAAGGAACAAAACGAAGAACGAAGAGTTGCAGTTCAAATATGCGATCAAATCAAGTAACTTGTGTATACTGAAACTGACTGTATCTGGCGTGGCGTTAGTGCCGGTAAAGGCCCGCTCGACCGGTGATGGAATCCCTATATATAAATACAAGAACCTCAAAGCGATCAATCTAAAGGGTATGTTAGATGGAGGAGTACATGCGCTCCTATGAATTTATGCATCCAATATACTGTGTACGAGACACTTGATCAGGCACACATTCTTTACATCATCCATATAGCACCATGTCCATGGCAGTGAATGAATTTTGATAATGTTATTTTAAAAGGTACGCGGTTAAGCAGCTTACCTCCGCGTCGTCGACGTATCAGTATTCGCGTTGCTCTGAGTTGACTGCTATTTCATATAATCCGCAGGTTATATGGCTATACACCCGTCACTTCCTGTCGTCAATGCCGAGTACGCGCGGTGTTTTGATTTTATTAGCATATTATAAAAACTACAGGACACACGCACAAATATCCGACTCGCCATGTACGCAATGCTCGCATTGCTATGATTTTTTTATCTAATGAGTAATCTACGAGTGAGGCGATTGAGCACCCCGCACGGGGCGTGTTAGTATGTTGTAAACTGAAAAGAAGACATGCTTACATTGAATTTGTTTTGTGATTGCAAATGCAGATCCCAAGAAGGAGAAGAATATCAAAATAGTGGCATTTGAATTTAGGGAAGGTGGGGCCACAGATGTCCTCGCAGTGGCTTCGCATGAGTGTTCGGAAATAATTGCCAGGCTCAAGGTATTTTTTATAGTAATGCTTTCAATCGTGTCACTACTCTCGAACTGCTTCAAAGAACTTGAGTAAAGAAACAGTCTTGAGTGTTTTCGCTTTGCAAGCACCATATGCAACTGCTTAGTACCTTCGCCGAGCGACTTTGTCATTCGCGTTTTCGAAGTTAATATTTGTGCGCTTGACTATACTTTAATTTTCTTAGGTTAGCACTAGACTTCAGAACCAGCTGATTCTTACAATGGCTTAGTGCGACATATGTTACTTGAAGTGAGACGGGTAGGGGTGCCTCGTTGTGACCATAGCTATCGTTTTTATTGTCGATTACAGACGTCTGATACTTATTTGTTCGATTATTGGGTATGAATATGTGTGCAGACCTCGCTTGTTATCCCTTCGAGTTCAAAATTTGGAATAGGTTGAGATCCGCTTGTATGTTTCCGTGAGGGGTGAATCGAGTACTCTCCTGCAATGGGAAGCAGCTTTATGTAGCCTAATCCTGAAAGGTTGAAGCACAATGAATTAAATATAGCAGCTACGCTTGGCAACGTCTTATCAGTTCACTCAAGCGTTTGACAATCCACTTGCGCACATAATATTCAGATGTTACTGTGGAAGTCAAAGTACAGTGGCCACTACCGATGATGCATGCATCAGCCCGGGCATTCCGATCCCAATAATCAAACTTAAGCAGGACACCATCAGCGACTTACTTCGTTGTGTGCATACAAAGCCTGTCTACAACTCTGTACACAATGTTTTCAAGTACTATGCCCCCGTATCTTTCTATCAGCCAATAGCTGGCATTGTTGTATTCTCGCCGAAAATCTTCGTGATATCTCGAATATGCCAAAATATACCAGGCCCAATACAAAGTGGCCTGCACCAAATTAGGACAAATTAAGCATATTCCCTAGTGGTTAATTAATAATAATAATAATACAAGTTCAAGCTTATCCGCTAGTGGTCTATTAAAAATATAGTTTGAATCCAAACTTCTTTCTGAGTGATGCTATCAAAATAAAATTTTGCCATCAGCTTGTGTTGTTGTGAATACCTCGCGTATGTTATCGGTAATATATATTACGCACGACTGCAAATACACACATATTAAAATATGTGGATTTTGTACGTACATGTATATGCAGTCCGTATCTCAGTATACAGTGCACCTATCGGGACGTTGAAATGTACAATATTATTGTAACTTCCTCGAATAAAATTCTAGCCATGTAAAAATTCTAGCCATGTAAAAATTCAGCGTAACTCCGCCTATCAAGAATCATAAAATAACGCCATCACGTCAACTCAGATGGAGGAACTGGTAGCCCAATCACTGAATGTAGATGGTAAGACCGTCGTTTGGTTTAACGAGTGTTCCGATCGGCCGGCGAGGGAATTATACAGCAGTGGCCGACTATATTCTTATTGACAATATGCTATTCAGTAAAGCCAATAATCAACCGGCTTGAGGGGCAAGGACGAAGGTCGTAAACAAGTAATGTGACAGTATTCAGGCCGTGAAAGGGTCGACGCAGGTAGAAAATCATAAGCAAGCAAGTTGCATGCAACACCTGTTCAAGATCAGCGCACTCTTTTAGGTATAAAAGCTGATGTGCGATCAACCGCGGAAGTGTCAGTCGCTAAGGCATCAATTTCACTTGTGTATGTGTGCGAAGAAACGAAGAAACAGACCCTACAGCTCTGGTGCAACTTGTTGGTGGGCGCGCTGTTCGACTACAATAAACAATACGATTGGGAGCCACTGCATACAATCCGGTATCTGTGGCGAGCGCTGAAGTACCAAAAAAGGAACCAACATACGTACACCAGTAATTCCTACCTTGAGGTCACGAGTGGATGATGATCTGCCTAGCAATTCTGAAATACATCTAGCAGAAGGTTTTCATCGACTTCTGCGAAAGGTGGTATTATAGGAGACTGTATTGAAAGAGTATATTAAAAAGTAGGCACAGTATTGAAACAAATTGATGTAGCAAACATACAAGCGGCGTATGGAAGTCGTACACCTGAGTCTCCTCGTAAATTATTCAAGCGAGAGCTTCAAATCTTGATTCTTCTGGGTGTCAGTCTGATTTTATGGTCTCCCACTCACCTGCCCATCGTGCGAATGCAACAACTACGTAAACCGGAGATGGCCAATTAGACTACGCGCACGCCATACAGTCGGCCATAATAGCTGCTGCTATATACTGTATCGTTATTTCATATGTAAATACTGTGATGAAATTTCCAGTTGTGACCTGAGCATAATTGGTGCTTTTCTCCCTGAGCATGTGCAGTTCGTTGCTAGGATTAACAATATGTAGAACCAGTTTCTAGGGTTTGGTACTACACGCAGATATAATTGTCTGGCACTCTTTCGAGCATCCAGATTACGTATAGACGACCGGTTGTGGTCTTTCAATTGTTTGTGGGAAACATCTAAGTGCAGTTATATATGTATTAAACCGAGCTGCGCGGCCGTATCGTAGTTTGGGAATTCAGCAGCTCAAGGCTTGTATCGTAAAATGGGGTCGTATTTAAAAATCACGACGCATTTATACAAGTTCCTGCGACGCAACCCAATAATTTTCACCGACAATGTCAAGGATAGGCTCTAGGTGAGCATATTGCGCAATTCTCTGCAATGCATCTAAGTCGCATGTTGTAGTCCAAAACAATTATTCTGATCTACCTGTGTGTACACTACCCGATGGCGATACACTTCCGCTGATTACAACTATATCTGAACTTGTAAATGGTCAAGAAAGCACCCATCAAAAAAAAATCTTTCGAAATGGAACGAGAGAATATCAGTTTCGGAGACGAGCTAGTAAATAAGTTGTACCTAATATAGATAGCTAGAGATAAGGTGTGTCGGCTAAGAAGGTTTTGTCTTGTATTGGTCGATGCCCCAGTACCAATAACTCCTCGCACTTTCACAACAGCCGTTGATATTCGTCATATGAAGCAAAGGCATGATATTGATTTCAGGAGGAAAAATTCTTGGCGATATAAATGGAATTGAGCTTTGCTCATCTCTGCTGCAGCCCAACTTCTGAATCTCATAGTACTATCCTTTGAAAGTTGTTTACCCAGATTTGTCTTAGTCAATTCTTGTAAACTACACTTTTCAAATTTGTTCAGCTTTCTCTCATTCAGATATGCAGCTATAGATGTGTACATGTCATATTTATTTTACCGTATCGACTACAAAATTGTGTTAGGAAGGCGAACATTTTAATAGTATATTGAATGCTACCAATTGATAGTCTCTACGGTGATGGTAAGAAATCACTGCCTGGCTGATTTAGGGGACGCACAGACTATTGAGGGAACCGTATTACCAACGTATTTTTATTGTATGCAGTATTGCATTTTGAGGACGTACCTCAAGGTCCAAATACGAGGGCTAGTTTTGTCTTTGAAGTGAATCATCGTAGTTAAAGCTGATGTTTCGAAACGATGGGCCAGCAGCAGAATCTGAATCTTCCTAAGTTTTTTTTAAAGTGATATATTGTGAGAATAGTACATGGATCACTCGGATAACTATGATGATATGCACTCTGTGATATGCACTCTATGATATGCACTCTGTGTGTGTTCCAATATTTTGTTGTGGTCGAAAACCGTGTCGGTGGCTGTTTGGAGCCTGCCATGTAGGCCCCTGGCGATATTGTTGATACCGTATGTGTATTGGAGGTCTCTTGGTAGAGATGCTGTGGTTGTAGTAGTAAGAGATATGTATGGTAGTACTGTTGTGGATAGGTGTGTGCTGGAGGACTTAAATGCACTATGGTTGCTTTCTTTGTGTTGAACTCTGCTGATTATCTTAAGTCGATGCTCGTATGCTATCTCTTGAACCTGTAATAACTTCCGTTTGTCGACGCCGATCACCTCGTCGCATATCCGTTCTTGTGGTTTGCGAATACATACCCTACAGACCTGTCATTGTTTGTCCCTTCCAACTATTAAAGGAAAGTTGATATCTTCCATTGTTGGTTCTCGTTGATCATCATCTCACTATGTGTTGCTGAGCTAAATTTACCGATTCAGTTACTTTTTCAGCCCTTTTCTTTCGCAAATTAATATGAAGGTGTCCAACATCTGCATGTCTCTCATATGTGTTCTGAAATGTTGTGCTCTTTTTCTAAATTCAGCTGCGGCCTTGCTGAAGTGCAAACGCAACTTACTATATTTTACGTATTTGCTTGATTTTTATACGAACTACGTGCTTGCTCTGCTTTTCTGCTGTATTCCAGCTACACCGGTAAAAACTCAAGGGTATGATCGGTGTGAGAACCTGCAGAAAACTTTTAGTATTTAAATCTCTTTCTCTGTTACGTACTCTTGGGGTGTCGCAGAACATTAGAGATAATGTTTATGCATGTGGTTTCTAATCTCATGAATAGAAATTCACGACAAGAAGGCTTTGAGTGGTTGAACACTAAAACTGAGAAACTGTCGTCTAATCTGTTAAAGCTGTTACAGACGAAGAATGGACACAACACCGCTTAATGCAGGCTACAAAGAAGTCTTCAAAGACTCATACTATTACGTCAAAGTCTGGTGGTAGCGCTAAATAAAACAAAGGTACGTATGCGGCAGTAGCACGTGAGCGAACAGCACCAAAGCAATTTTTCCACAAGGAACAGCATACTCAGCAGACACAGCTGAAGGGTTTTAAAACCAGGTACGCTTTGTGTCTTGAATGTGACAGTGCTGTTCACCAAAATAAGTTTAACAGAACACAAAGACTCTTGCAAATACGCTTTAGAGTGTACAACTTGTAAGAAGACGCATGGAATGCATCCACTTTCTTGCAACAATATTCAACGGATACCTATCAAGAAGAGACCTACACAGGAAGATTCCAAAGGAACCTCTCAACATTGATACCACGTGGCGATGGTTAAACGGATAACGTCAAAAGACGATGAACGTACTCTATTACCAGTTTCGTTAACGGAATAATGGTTATTACGTTACTTGATCCCGGTTCTCAAATATCATGTATCTCTTATCGTGTATCACTTATGTGTGACATAAAAACTTATTTCTTAACGAGAACTTTTACATAAGACAATGCTAGATTTAGATATTAATATCTTATTTAAAAATAATGTATATGACTTAACTCCAGGACCTGCTATGATATCATAGCCCCCCGCCAGCTCTAAGCCATTGAATAAAGTACTGCCTGGGTACCATAGTGGAGAAAGAGTGAGAAAGTAAGCAAGTGCGGTGTAAAACCTTAGTTAATAAGGTATGTAAATACTTAGAATGTTTCAAAATATTATAGTATGTAAATACTCTTCACGTGTGTGAGTCTACCCTTGTTTGCTTGGTATTCCCTGTGCCACCCGTTAGTTGGTGTACACGCTTTTGTGTCATAGATTTTGGAAGTGTATCTCTATAAAGAGAAGACCAGAACTCAAGACCAAGGTAAGAGTGCGTAGCAATCTTATCGGCTTGAGGAAATAGCTTGTCTTTAACTTCCTGGTATTTATGAAGGCGTTTCCGCCATTTCTTGTTGACACTTTCTAAGTAATCTGGGTTTCCAAAGTCTGACGACGTAAGGATATAAACTTCATTGTCATGAAACAATGTTTTGTATAGTTCCGTTAACGGGTTTTATACCTATTATCTTTTTGAACTCTTGTTCAAGGGGTGCAGTATCATCATATGTTCGACAGAGTGTTAGTTGGTCACTCGGTATACGAGATAAGCCCACATTAAGTCCACTTGTACCATTTACATTGTTAATCTCGTAGGTATCAGACTTTTCGTCATGTACAGAGATCATATAAAGGCCTATGTAGTAAGAATATAACTTACCAGTGTCCGAAATTCTCTGGATTATGTTAACATAATCACCTTTTCCTTCCTTGAAGAAAACTTGTTTCTTCTTACAAGACCAGCGACCTTGCGCTCTTAAAAGTACAGTGTTTCGCTTTTCTTTAAGTATAGGGTATACAACCTTATGTACTCTATCTAATCTTTACAGCCACTTAAGTGACTGTACCTTGTCAGGTACCCCTTCTACAAGAAGTTGTAGCACACTTTTTCTACCACGGACATAGTGTGACGGGGTTACGTCGGTTACAGGATCAGGTGTGTCATTCATCTGATCTCGTACCCATGTCAAACGATAGATTCTGATCTTGTACCCATGTCAAACGGTAGGGCCAATCACTAGTATCATTTTTTCGTGCAGTCCTTAATTGAAACTCAAGTTACCTATGTCGGACTTCATTGGCACCTTGCGTTTGTGGATTGTAGGGCACTCCCCGTTTTTCACATATGCCAGATACGAGTTTAAAGCCGTCATTATTCCACCTATAAACTCGCCGACATTATCATAACATAAGAATAATGGGTACCCGTGATCGGCAAAGATGCGTAAGCACAATTCCGCCATTGTTTCAGGTAGTTTATTCCTGACAGGATAAAACAAATACACCCAGAGGCTACGACAAACGTATGTAAAACATACTTCTCATCATATCGTCCAACTACATCCATAACAACCTACAAAATCAATGGTGGCCCTGCACATAGTTTCATCTTCGAGCACCGACTTAAGTGAAGCCCAGCCATAGCGCTTAATTTGATTCTTTTCACAATCAGCACACTTAAAGTATTCTTGCTCTCAGATTTTACGCAAATATGTTTTGATTTTTCAATTTCATTAGAAGAAATGTCGATTTTCAGTTTCAAATATTTCTAGTTTAAATCTTGGGATTGTAGTACAAGGCTGGACAGAATGAGCCCTCGGTTCAGTGCCCTGGTGCATGCGCCTGGCCATCAGCCCGAAAGCCCCGATTCACTCGCACATGGCCCTCCCCAGTGCAATGGACCGATTGAACTACTTAGTTTCCTTGTGTGAAGTTCAAACTAGCAGTACAGTACTTCACCTTTGAAGTACTGTCAGCAGAAAGTAATTTAATAAACTATTTAGTTGTAAGAAGTTCTGTATCAATTTTAGGGTTTTAGATCAAGTTAGACGGACATTGATTTTAAGTAACTACAACGAGTGATTTGATGCGATTTAATTGATTGAAATAACTAACCTAAGATGTCGATGAACACCAGCCGCGATGACATGTGGGGACCCAGCATGGGTGTACGAGGGTCAGAAGCACCGAATGCTGCTCCCTTGGATTGAGCGTTGGCAGGGTTTTACCAATTATCCTGCGTACTGTGAGACCGGTCCGAAGGACCACGAACGCGACTACCCAGCCCCGAAGCATACTTCGGATTTCTCGGCTCAGATGAACCGTCTGGTAAGGTAAATTTCGGAACGTTTGGTCCTGGAGGTACAGATGAACATGGAGGCCAACGTGACAGTTGTGTAGATCACCCAGTACCTTTTGGCCAATTATGCCTCTGCTATTTTCCTTCTGACCAGGCCGTCCTCCTCTGATTTGATTGCCTACTCGACTCGCTTTCGATCTGACTCTGTCTACAGCCTGAAGGCAAAGCACGCTCTAGTGAGCCAAGCTTCCAAGTTCGCCGTGAAAAGTGTCATCTACCGCGTGGACCAGGAGCTCCGTCCGAACCGTACCCGTGTCGACCCTGGTTCAGCTCCTCGCTTGAGCATGCTGCAAGCCGCCCAGAAAGGACTTCCGTCGCCTTTCCATGCCCAAGCTTCAGCGATGCCTGCCCGTTTGCCTCCGGTGGACCGCACCCCTTCCAGCCCTTTCCGGGCCCGACGCTCGAGGACTATCCAGGCGCCAACCAGGCGCCGTGACGATCTACGCAACACCTTGACACGGGACAGCTACCATGAGTTCACCCCGGGCGAGACCACCCGTTGGCTTGATCGATGCTCACGGGCGGCGGCTGATGATCGTCCTCTGGGAGGACCCTTCTAGTGGGAAGGTGACAAGTGGATGCTGACTACCTTAGCTCTGTTGGCCGGGGTAACTCCCAATTCCGAGGCTCAACACCTCCACGCGACTCACGCGACCAGCAGGACCGTTTGTCTTGTAGCCGTTTCCCGGGACGCTCTGCCTGCCTAAGCTGCAACCTTCGGCATTGGTAGGATCAATTCGCTGCCTGTGACATATGCAATGGGACGTGTCATGTCCGATATCGTTCCCCGAAACCCCAAGGACCCTAACAATAACCTGGGCAGCAATTCCGTAGCGGTGGCAGCCGCGACCTTGGGTTGACTATCGCAGCGTTTGAGAATGTACCGGAACTCATTAGTGCATAGTATTCTGTCAATTGTGTTGCTTTGTCGACTCCTGGTTTTAGTTTACAGCTGTACAATTTTGCACAACCATTGATATTATTTGTACATTCTAGTAGTGAACCATTCATTTTTGGAATATACATTTGACGAACATAGGTTCTGTTCGTACGCCCAAAGCAAGCACGCATCATACCGCTTTAGTGCATTGTAGTATGCTTCTTGAGAGACTACAGTAGTAGACGTTATTTCTATATACGTTAATAACGTTTTACGTCGTCAGCCCGAGAGTAATTTGGGACTTGTTCTCAAATTAAAATAAGTATAGGTGGGCCAGCCCAAAAGAATGTGAGAGTGATTTGAGACTTCTTCTCAGATTATTCTATAAATAGAATACGGGCCACCGGCTAGCCGAGAGCCGAGGTCCGATACTGAGTATAGTAACACGCGCTATCAATATGCCTACTGTGAACTCTAAGGATATTAAGACCACCACTATTCTCGAATCGAAGGTTGACTGGCTTCCTTAGAAAACCCAGACAATTCTATCCGTGAATTGTGAAGGAATCCCAACAATATTGCACCCAAGGAAATCGCTGAGGCTTATCGGATTATCAACCCCACCTTATCTCCACTACTGCAGACGGAGATCAGCCAATTCATTAATAAGCCGTGGGAAGCTTTTGCCGCACTGAAACACAAGTTTGAAGCCCTGACCGAAGATGATATCCAGACATTAGAAGGAAAACTGAACCGCATCACGCAAGAACGGAACGAATCTTACGCCAGCCTTATCAGTCGTCTCAACACGGTATTTGTGAAATTCAAAAACGCCGGAGGTACGTAGTCTAACAACAGCCTAAGCGCTATTCTACGGCAGGCTGTAAACGATGATAATCAGACTGTTAAGATTACCTTGAAGACACCCGCTATGATGGCCATGTCGTATGATGGGCTCACCACATATCTCATCGCATTGGATCCAGATGAAAGTGACCCATCAACCATTGTGCACGGTGCGCATGCAGCTATATCGACAGGAAATTGTGCATTCTGCAATAATCGTGGGCATTCCATCGGGCAATGCCGTAAGCTACAAGCTTTAATCAAATCATGCGTTGCTGGTAACCCACATAATCAGGGTCGTAAACGTTACGATCGACGGATTGACAAATCTGGTCCACGTCATGACATGAGAGACTACAGATTTAAGTCCAAGAACAATGACAAGCATCGCCGACCTGATTCGAATCGTAACTACCGTACCAGTGTGGAACAGTACAACAGAAACATCAGCTACCTATACCGCTACGATAATCACGATGATCAGGACCGATAGGACTACCGAGTAGATAGGTACAATCGACGCGACTACGACGATGGTAGATATTCACGAGATACCCAACGTGCACAAGACATTGACAGAACATACAGATCCCAGATTAATCGACGCCAAGCTCAGGAAGGCAGACAGGACAAAGCTATGTCAGCACAAGTATCTGATGACCAACTACCTGCAAACAGACAGATTGAATTCTTTACAATTAACCCTACAATCGACAACAAGAAGGTGAATGATCAGTCATATAGAGATTCCAGAGGTGGATACTGACTAGCTTGCGATAGTTGCGCCACCATACACGTACTTCCCTGTAAGTACCACAAACATTATCTCGTCAGCAACATGCGCATTAATGACTGGTATGCGCTCGAAGTAGCTGATGGTACAATAATTTATCCAAAGTATGTGGCTCAGCTAAGAAATGTGGGGGACGTACTCATTGATACGACATTTAAAACTGCACTACTAATTATCAGCCTACTCTCAGCGCGACACTACTCATTTGAATTCACCAACAACATGATGTACATATTACTACCAAGCTTCGGAACCATAACAGTACATGAAAAGCACAGAATATACTGTGTGCACATCGACGACATAGCTATGACTACAGTGGAACCATCGCTGAAGAAAGCCAATCAGATTTCATGGCACAACAGGCTCGCGCCCCCTAGCTACGTCCCAAAAGATTTACCCTACATAAGGCAACCAGAGAAACGATGCAAAGCATGCACTATTGCTAAGAAGAAGAACAAGAATATAAACAAGGAACGACAGCACGAACCTGCTACAGAGCCTCTCGAGATAGTCTTCGTGGACATAATAGGACCGTTCGTAACGTCAATAGGATCCAACACCCACTCTGTATCAATCATAGACGATTTTTCTAGCATGGCCAAAGAGTATCCGATCCGCGATTTGAAAGCGACAACAATTCTGGATGCTATGTTGCACACATTCGATGAATGGCACACCTTAAGTCATCGCCGAGTTCAGTGCATACAAATGGATCGAGTTGTATGGATCGAGGCTCACAGTTTACAGCAAACGTAACGAGGCGCATGCTTGCGTATTTGGGATACTGCTCGAGGTACGCACCTACGGCCACGCCACAATGCCATGGCAAGGTAGAGGAGACTCCATGGTACACTAGTCCCTAGAATGCTTTCACAACTGACGTATGCACATCTACCGACTACTATGTGGGCTGAATCACTGATTCAAACTACCAACATATACAATGCTATACCCACCAACGAGAAGAGCTCATCCCCATACGAGAAGTTTACAGGATACGCATTTCCGATAGATATGGTCAGGACATTCGGATGTCACATCGCATACAAGAACCGTGATCCAGACGGCAAACTCGACGACAAAGCACTGGATGGCATTCTTCTTGCGCAACCCTTGGACACAACACCGAACTCGTATCGTTTATACTCACCTCTGACCAAGCGTATAATACAAAACCGAGACGTCTATATATTCGAAGATGAATTCTTTGTCTGGGAAGACAACAAATGTACAACCGCTATCACACCACCTGACACTACGAACAGTTGTACATTCCTCCAAATCGAGAATGGCGATTTCCAAACAGACGCAAGGACAACATCGACAACGGAAGATATGCTTAGCCAACAAGCCCAGCCAACTGTGACGCACAAGTCGAGCAACTCAGAACAACTACAAATAATTTCCTCGTCAACACAACAACCTGTTGAGAGTGAAGTACATAACGTCGTGTCGGAGGCTTCTGCAGCGACTACCAAAACACAACATGATCTCGAAGCAACCATAGCTAGAAGAACGGCAGCAGGTTGCCAAGTCTCTCGAGAACTGCGAGACCTTGCGATAGATGATAACAATGTCGACTGGTATCACGATAGCCGCCGTAAGAGACGAACTCCTAGCACTATGCACACTGTCAATTCAGCAACTGCAGCAATGGAACCGAAAACATACAAAGATATATATGAGATGCCAAACGCAGCCGATTGGGATAAATCAGCACGTTCGGAGATGGAGAGCTTGGTGATACAGCGCAAGGAATTTACTCTGGTTGACAACAAACCGCGAGAGAAATCATTATTTCCCCCTCGATGGGTCTTCAAGGCAAAAACAGATGAATCAGGACAAGTCACACGACTCAAATCACGTCTGAACGTAGCAGCATTGAATGCAAAACAGGGAGTCGATTACGAGGAAAGCTATGCCCCAGTAGTAGCCAAGGAAACACTCAGAATCTGTCTAGCTCTAATGGCACACTATGACATGGACATTCGACAATACGATACACCCTCGGCCTACCTCATTCAAGAACTGGATACCCCTAGCTACGTGCGAGTGCCGCAAGGATACGATCTCATCGAACATCTATTGGACCCGTCTCAGAGAAAACTATACGAAAAGCACAAGCAAGGAGACACAAAGGTTGTATGTCGAGTTGACCGTTGCGTATACGGTCTACCATCTAGCAGACACAACTGGTTTATAGCTATCCATCGGTTTGCTATACAACACAGTTATAAACAAGCACAATCGGATGGAGCACTGTTCATCAAACAAAAACACAGTGGGCCTTATTTCATTATTGTTTACGTAGATGACAAAATTGCAGCATACCAGAGTAAGACCGACGTACAGAAACTAGCTGACGCAATGAAATGCGAATGGAACACTGTTGATACCGGCATACCGTTATGGTTTCTCAAGTGCCAAGTGAAAATACACCCTGGAAGAGTACGTCTCCGTCAACGACAATACCTAAGAGAAATATTGCAGGAATGAGGGTTGATAGATTGTAAACCAGCATGGGTGCCAATTCTAGAATCGGACTATGAAGTAACAGACAAACACGCATATCTCCTGGATAAGGCGGCAAGTTCAGACGTCCCAACAATCACACAATTCAACAAGCTAGTGGGTCAGCTACGATACCTTGTATACCTTGTATATCAAACACTTCGATCCTAAGTCGCTATCTGATAGCACCTCAGTACCACCACTTCAGAGGTGCCAAGCGCTGTTTGAAGTATCTCGCTGGTACTCAGGACTTCGGACTTGAATACACGAACAAAGAACCATGTATTTCCTATCAGAGTGTAGATAGTAGATTTGCTAGCGATGACACAACAAGACGATCCACCACCGGGCGAGTGGGCATTTAAAGTCGACTACATTGCACTCTAACACTTCTCGTACTTCTGTAGGTACTCGTACTAAAGTCATGTATGTTATGTCATTAGTGCTACAAACTACGAAAAGAACGTAATCAACATAAAGTACTAATGCCTCTTGGATTACTTATGCTCTATACTGACGCTGAACTT